AAAAAAAAAAAAAAAAAAAAAAAAAACCGAAAAGAGTGATTGGTTCAGGGAAATCACGCCACTGTCACACTTGACTCGAGCGTCGCTTGTCTGGAAAAGAAAACTTATAGCGAAAGCAGAATTGAACGGCGAAATCAACCAGTCTCATACAAAATGCTTGAGATGTGAAGTCAGTTTTTGTCATCAGAGCACCCTTGTGGGCCGAAAAAACCTTCAGGAACGTTACTTTGAATAATGCAAGAGTTGAAAAAGCCACTCGGAAAACTTGCGGTTGGGGTCAACATCGACACAGGCGTTGGAAGTCATAAGTTCGATTCGAGCGTTCAATGAAAGGAGCGTTAGTGACGGTGGAAATTTGTGTCCTCTGAGGTCCGTGATTATCAAGTGTATTTGACATAGTGTCGGAGACAATTTCTAGCTGTGATACAGACGGCCGCGAGCTGTAGTGAGCTCGCTGCTGTGCCCTGGAACGGACCGGAACATTCGCGCTGGAAAGCAAGGTTATGTGTTTATTGTAATGTTTCTTTCAAATCCAAATGTTTGTGGATCGGCCAACGTCACATGCACAACGCGTGACTGTGAACATTTGGCAAAATTCGGAATATTATTTTGATGTCATTTTTAGGAGAATGCAGACGGACATAATTCAAATTTTAATTATTCACAAGCTTTAATTCTGTTGACAATATTGGAAGGGAAATAGAGCAGACAAATTTGGATGGGTGAAACGAAAACGATGAAGTCCGTCTTTCCAAAAGGTCGAAGTTCGGTCCGGTTGGATATATTTCCTGTTTCCAGTCTCACTCGGTCCAAAGGAATGAAGGAAGACATGGCTGATCGTTCTCTAGTTCTTCACGTTGATCAAACAGGAGACGTAATGGATGTAAACATTGATCAAGCCCCATCCGATGACAAGGAAAGCGAGCAACAAGCCTTGATACAAACCTCGCATCTTGAATCGAAACAAACAACTCCATTATATGTTTATTTCTTAACTGTTTTTGCCGCCATCGGTGGATTTCTGTTTGGGTACGACACTGGAGTGATTTCCGGCGCCATGATTCTGATAAAACAGGAGTTTGATTTGTCTTCTTTCTGGCAAGAACTAATTGTTAGCGTAACCATCGGTGCAGCCATACTTGGTGCTTTATTAGGAGGGTTTCTGAATCAACAGCTTGGCAGAAAGCCTCTCCTTGTCGTTTCAGCCATGGTTTTCACAGTTGGAGCTGTGGTGATGGGGGTTGCTCCTTCGAGAGAGATTCTTCTCGTTGGAAGGCTCACTGTGGGCTTTGGAATAGGTAAATTTAATCAAGTATTGAAGTTCTATGAGTTTATTGGTAATTATAATAGAAAGATGAGTTAGTATTTCCATCAGTGATCGCGATTTGTGGCTTTAATTTTAGTCGTGGTTGCGCTCCCCAAAATTAAGGGCTAGCTCAGAATATGCAAATATTCACTCAGATGTAAATATATCAATAAAATCGTAAATAATGTGTTTGCACACAGTTACTTTTACTTTTTTTTGCGACCTTGTTAATAAAAGTCTTTAAAACCCGCAGATGATCGAAGAAGATCTCTCCAATTTGTAAGCAATGCATCCACGACTCTCCTTTAATTTTACTATCACGCGATGTATCGCAGGGGTTCGGCCGCATTCAGAGCTCTGAAAATATTGAAATTCACTTCATACAGCTTTTTGCTGGAACAATAAGTGTAACTTTTACAAGGATTGTTTCTGGTCACTTCAAATGCTGTAAGGTTAGTTTTCCCTAGCATACAAGCACAAGCATAAAACAACATTCATTTGAGGTTAGTAGTGAAAAAATATGGAGTGATTTACACAATGCGTTTAGGTGACATTAGATCCTTTTTTGATTTAAATTAAACTCGGCTAAGTTTACAGAGAAAATAAAGAATATGACAGACTTTCAAAATTTTGAATTAAAATGATTACATTTTTGCCAAATTAGTTTTTTTATGATAATTTGTAACAGCTGACTTTTAAAGGACCATTTACTGAAAGCTTATAGAAACCATGGCAACACATATGACATCATGCAAATATGTAAAATACAGCTCAATATAGCCTCATAAGGAGATCCATAATGTTTACATCCTTGGTTAGAACCAAAATTTGTGTAATATCTTTTGTCATATTTCTATACATTTGCTTCCAGAAAGTTTCCAAACCCACCTCAAGAGGGTTATTGGAAATTCCCAGGGGGGAGGTGGTCCAAAAGCCAAAATTCTCAAAGGAAAGTATGAACCAAAACTGAAATTTTTAGAGGGGAGATCAAACCAAACAACCCTCCCCCCCTTCAATGGGAGGGGTATGGATGTTTTCTGGAACAACACATCAACCAAATGTATGAATATGAAATCGCACAAAATGAATTATGCCATGAATTTTTCTCATCCAAGATAGAGTTAGTTAGCATGTCAGAGTTTGACTTTTCTATCACTGATTCAAAATATGTCATACTACTGCCATCATGGCTGTTTAAGGTTGGATAACACCACATGTATTGAGTGGATAGCATAATCCGCAGGTGACAGTGCGCCTTAAATTATCATTTGATTATATGCAGGTGGGGCTTCTGTTACTGTCCCAGTTTATATTGCGGAAACAGCACCCTCAACCATCAGAGGGCGCCTGGTCACTACAAACAATCTTTTTATTACTGGTGGGCAGTTTGTTGCTGCAGTTGTTGATGGCCTCTTCAGCTCATACAAAAAGAATGGATGGAGGTAGTATTATCATTGACTTGCAGTTCTTTAGTTATGTTTTACTTTGTTTTAGTGACAACCTGCCATGGTGTAGGGTATATTGACCAAGTTTACTGGCTCTCCTATTGTTGATTATTGAGGACCTGGTTTCATTGACCAGATCTTACAATCAACTTGGAAACTTGCATAAAAGATGATTGTTGTGTGATAGAAAAGGCAGAGTTTCTTCTAAAGCAATACTTTGACTGTTATTGAAGATTCTGGTGCCTTAAGTTTGTTTTGGTACATGTACAAGTGAAAGCAGCCATCAAATCACTAAAGGTAGATGTTTTGTCATGAATAATATCTGTGGAGAAATAAGTACAGTTATGCATATCACTTCCACTTGTGACCCAATAGGCCATTTCCCAGTTGCCTTTTGCCTTTTGCCTCTATGTCAAAATTAGTCTGCAAATCAAACTCATTTTCATATGAAAGATTTTGCATGAGGACTCAAATTATTTGAAGCAAAGGCTCAAGGTAACTTGGAAATGGCCTATTACACAAAAAATAAGTCTGTCTAAAATTTGATGTTGACTAGCTAAATAGCAAAATTTTTGAAAATTTAGTATTAGGCCATAATCTTGCTGGGTTTAACCTTGTTTGGAGGAAAACAATGTCCAGAGAACCTGAAATACGCTTTCAGGGCTACCAGCAGAGACCAAACAGGGTGTGTTTTCTATGGGCACCTAACCTCCACATGTGACAAATGTTCTTAATTTGATCCATGTCACTACAAAAGTGGAGGGCTTGATCAAGTTACAGGCTTAAAACCTCACTCAAAGCCTTCTCCATCCTCTAGGAGATGTTGTAATCATTGTTTTCTTTTTGCTAGATACATGCTTGGCTTAGCTGCTGTTCCATCCATTGTGATGGTCTTTGGTTGTCTGGTCCTACCAGAAAGTCCTCGCTGGCTTGTTAGTAGAGGCTACTCTGAACAAGCTAAGAAAGTGCTTGTGAAACTACGAGGCACTGTGAATGTGGGTTCAGAACTTGATGCCATGAAAAATGTTTGTGATGAGGAAGAATCGTTGCATAAGAGCAGTAAGTGTGTTGGATCAGCAATGTTCTGTTTATTATGCTGTTTGAGTCTGTGGATGAAACCCTAGTGTGTGACCATTCAAATGAAAGCTATTGAGCATTGTTTTCATGTGGTACTGTTTATTATGCTGTACAAGGTGGTTCTAACTTTTAAGTCTGTAGATGGAACCCTAGTGTGTGACCNATTCAAATGAAAGCTATTGAGCAGTACTTTCATGTGGTACTGTTTATTATGCTGTACAAGGTGGTTCTAACTGTTAAGTCTTTAGATGAAACCCTAGTGTGTGATGATTCAAATGAAAGCTATTGAGCAGTACTTTCATGTGGTACTGTTTATTATGCTGTACAAGGTGGTTCTAAGTTTCAAGTCTGTGGATGAAACCCTAGTGTGTGACCATTCAAATGAAAGCTATTGAGCAGTACTTTCATGTGATACTGTTTATTATGCTGTACTAGGTGGTTCCAACTTTCAAGTCTGTGGATGAAACCCTAGTGTGTGACCATTCAAATGAAAGCTATTGAGCAGTTCTTTCATGTGGTACTGTTTATTATGCCGTACAAGGTGGTTCTAACTTTTAAGTCTGTGGATGAAACCCTAGTGTGTGACCATTCAAATGAAAGCTATCAAGCAGTACTTTCATGTGGTACTGTTTATTATGCTGAACAAGGTGGCTCTAGCTTCTGATATGTGACTATTAAAATGAAAGAAAAATTAAATGCTGAATTTGGAATATCTTCGGATTGAATGCATTGACAAAGTTATCCACCCGTATCCTTTTTTCCAGAATCTTGTTCATTTACTCAAAGCGTAGTGTATCAAGTGTTGACAACTTCAGCGACAAGGAAAGCTTTGTTGGTTGGCTGCATGCTGCAGGCGATACAACAGCTGTCTGGGATTAATACTGTTATGTAAGTAAATTTATGGGCACGACTTACGGGTTCTTTTGCCTTTGTGACAAACCATCATGACAGTTTAAATATAGCCTTACACACACATCCACTCGATGAAAAATTCTGGGTTTAATTTCCGAAAATTTCCAAGAATGAATGGTACAGCACTTCCCAGAATTTCTGGAAAAGCGGACAACCTCTTGAGGTATACCCAAATTTGTGAAAATTTCTTTCCGAGAATTTCCATTCCATTTGATTTTCCTCTCGGAATTTCCCGAATTTGCGATTGAATGGTTCACTTTTCGGAAAGTCAACAATTTTCGGATTTCCTGGAAAATTTCCGTGGAAATTTTCGTACCATTTGTCCTTTTTCAAAATTTTTGGAATTTTTAGTCGAATGGAAAGCAACCCTGGATAAACTAATTGTAGGGAAAAAAAGTGGACAGACGGAGTTTTCCAGGTTGAATTTCTCAGCAGAAAAAGACATGAACTTAGGCTAATTAAATCTTAAGCTATTGTCTTGATGTACCTTGAAATTCTCGTAACTAACAGGAAGAGAAATGCGGAGCTAGGTAAGGAGAATTAATCTTTGGAGCTTTCTGTCACTAGGTACTACAGTGCCACCATCATACAGATGTCCGGAATCCAGGGTGATCAGCTCGCTATCTGGTTAGCGGCCCTGGTTGCATTTGGAAACTTTGCTTTTACCATCGTAGGAGTGTGTCTGGTGGAGAGAATGGGACGGCGTAAACTGTTGCTCGGTAGCCTGGCAGGAGTCACATTCAGCCTGTTTCTTCTTGGAGGTGCCTTTTACATGGCGAAGCGCAACGACGCCTCCATATCCGTACACGAGACGGCGCCTTTCTACATCAAAAACAGTTGTCCCAGCTCTGGTTTCTGTTTAGACTGCTTGGAAGATAAATGCGGATTTTGCTTCGTGAAAGATGCCACGAACAACCCTGTCAAAGGCTCTTGTATTCCTTTCAATTCTTCAAGTGATAACAGTGCGGCATACGGCAGATGCAGCAAAAAAGATCACTCTACGACTTGGTCATATGCGGCGTGTCCTTACAAGTACGCCTGGTTAGCTATAGTCGCTTTAGTACTTTATATAGCAGCGTTTGCCCCAGGGATGGGACCAATGCCGTGGACGATAAACTCGGAGATTTACCCCCTGTGGGCCCGTAGTACAGGGAATGCTCTCGCTACTGCTACAAACTGGACTTGTAATCTCGTGATTTCTATGACATTTCTCACGCTGACCGAGTGGATCACTCGCTTTGGAGCGTTTTGGCTTTACGGGGGAATTTCGTTTTGTGGCTGGCTGTTTTTCTTCATATATCTTCCGGAGACGAAAGGGAAATCCCTGGAGGAACTCGAGCATTTATATTTGTAGGGAGGTGATTGTCTAACAACCATGGTCTTTTTTGTCAAACTTTATTTTTGTATTTGAACAACAATGAGGTGACTTTTAAGAGACAAACAAGCGAACGAATGAAATTTTATTCAGTCATTATGGCTCCTGGTCTAGTGCAACCGGCAGATCTAGAGGACCGAGAAGTGGTCTCGCCTCTCCAGTTACAAGGCCCGCTGCTGTAACAAAGCGCTCGAAGTCACACTCGCGCGCGAAATCTCGCCCTACGTAGGCTAGAGTAAAACTAAAACTTAGCAATCAAATTGGCAAGAGTCTATTTAAACAAAAACCTCGACTCGTTCATTCGTACAATGCTTCATACCATCAATTATCATAGAGTTTGTTTCAACGCTGATTTAGCCAGCGGCATCAGACTCATAATAATAAAATATTATTGCTCGCAGCACGCTCTCAGCACAAAAATATTCCTCCCCATTTTCTGCGGAGCTGGTTGCGACTCGCGAACGCTAAGAATATTGCAAGAAGATCCCTTAATTATAGGACATATTCGCACGGGTAATCGATCTGGTGACGAGATAAATTAGGAGATAATTTACGCGCCTTTTGGGAAAATTTTAATAATTTTCTTCGCCTTTAGGCGAGGGAAATTATTGGAATTTTGACAAAGCGTAAGTGATTTTTTTCCCCTTAATTTTGCGAGTATAGGCTTTTGACTTCTTAGTCAAGAAACCTCTCGCCAAACGTTACCATGGCAATTTTATAATTTCACATGTGAAATTATAAACTAAAGTTACCCATGATATTAATTAAGTATTCAACTCAATTGGGGCAAATTAAAGTTATAAATCATAATGTCAATCTTGCTTTTGATCTCTGTTTGTTTGTCTCGTGTCCGCGACAATAACGACTCTACGCCAGTGTCCTTTTCTATCAGAGGGCTGTTTAGTACCCGTACACCACTTGTTTTTTCAGAAGGTGTAAACCTTTATTTAGTCACTGAAAAAAGTAACATACAATACAATTACAACAATTAAAATTTAACAACTAACAAAAAGAACTATTACGCATAATCTACGAATTAGAGCAATCTATAAACACTCACGAGAATCAAGCAAAAATTGTGCCACATATATATAAAGAGGCAGACATTGAAACCAAAACTCGCTGGAATCGCTGTGAAACGGCCTTAAAACGCTACGGAAAGGAAATGTCGAAGGAAGTCATTTGTAATGAATTTCGATTCTTTTAAATATTTCGAATTGTTATGAACGATCATTACACTTTCTTACAAAGTGTTAACTGTTACGCTGTGTTGCGCAACTGAATATTCACGGCTCCCAAGGAGCTTGCGAGACC